GGGAAGCATCTAAAGTCACGTGGTAACCAGGGCCGGTCCTAAGAGCATCTCCAATGCAAGTGTGTGGTCTCTTACACACCCTTACACATGGGTCCCATTTTTTATCTCACAAATTTTATGTGTAGGACCCACACATTTCCCAATTTATTTTCATTTTCATTTTTTATATCACTTTTAACCCACTTTTCATCAAGTTTTCCTCCTCGAATCCCGTGTAAGGTCCATATATGGACATTGTCATAGACCTTGGTCCATTTTTACCTCTATCTCTCTCCTCTTTTTCATTTTTTCCCTACACACCACTTTATCCCAATATTTATTCTATCCCTATCTCTCTCCTATGCCACATCAGATGCAATGCATCCTCCCATTGGAGATGCTCTAAGGGGTGCAACAGGGACGACCGCCCTAGGCCCGAAAAAATAGAGGGGGGAAATAGGCCCAAAAATTTTTGTTTATATATAGTGTGAGTAGACTTCTTTTTTAATTTAAGCTCAAGTAATTAGGCCTAAGGTTTAATTTTGTTGGAAATTTAAAATTTTTAAAACAAAGGTTAAAAGGCATGTGACACGCCTCTTTGAGTAGTTAAGTCTCTTCACATCTCTAAGCTTTATAATTCTTTTAATTACAAAATTACCAAAATATTTTTTGGCTCTAACTCTTTGTACAACTCGTGTGTCTCCCAAACTCCCGATTCATAAACCACCCCATCCCACTAACCAAATTAATTTCCTGGACGGTGGTTTTCAAGTTCCAATTAAACTCAATTATCTGATGAACTAAAGGACTAAGGTTTAATAAGGTCTTGGTCGCCTTGCACAAGAGTAGACATTAGAGAGCGCTGCAAGCCTGCAAATCGCCATTAGCCAAGGTAGTTAGCGGTGAGGAGCCCAAACAGCAGTCGGCGACTAGAACACCTTTTTCTGTCAAGGCCTCAAACAATCCGACAACGCCGAGTAAATTATTCCCAATCTATTAGCTATGAATACTAATTCCACTAAATGTTCTTTTGATTTGTGAATTATGATTAATGATTTCTATATGATGCATTTTTAGTGTCTTAGTAAATTCATATTTGTTTGGTATTGTGCAATTTTGAATTGAATTCCTTTATTCCGTTTTACTATTGGGAAGGTGTTTGAAAAAATGGGTGAATCTGGTTGGGAAAAAGAGAAAAAGAGACAAAGATTAGAAAACGCAGCCTTAAGTAAGACGGGGGCAATGGAAAATTTTGTTTTTGTTAAGAAATTGAATCTCGAAAATTCTTCTCAAGTTGAATCGCCGCTAAATTCTTTTGTAGTGATATAGGTGCAGAAGCCGCAAATAGTGAAATTGAGTCAGGTAATTGTGATTTAAGTGAAGAGAATAACTTTTTGTGGGTCTTGTTTTGTTGATCGATTTTTAGAGATTAGTTTTTGTCTTGAACATAGGCCCAAATAACATCTCGCCCATAGGCCCAAAAATCGACAGGACCGGCCCTGGTGGTAACACCTTCATTTCCCCCAAATTTATGAGGAGAATATAATCAAATTTGTCATACGTATTATTGTTGTTGTTGTTATTATTATCATCATCATCATCATCATCATCATCATCATCATCATCATCAATTATTATCTGGAAGGATCAATTCACACTAGGGGTGGAGACCCCAAGAAAAAATTTGTAATGTATATACACATGTATAAAAATTTATAGGGTCCCAAATGAAAATTTATAGGAAAAGACATCAACGTTCGCATCCAATGAGGATAAGGTCCCAATCACATGTGGGATTTTGATAATTGGTTTTAGGGGAAGGGATCTATCTTGTACTTGGGGTTGAGCTCTATTTTATCATTTTTTCTTTCATTTTTTATTTGTTTTTGTTTTCCTGCCTCATCTTTTCTTAGCTTTGTTCTTCCCTTGTACGTCCTCTTTATTTATCATTAATAAACTTTCTTTTGTGCTAAAAAAAAATATTTATAGGGAGTTAAAAATGTAGTTAAAATTTAAACTTTGACGAACACAACATAATGGTAGTTTCTTAATCAATTTGAGTGAAAAAACAAGAGCTGCGCGTCGCCTCCGTGAAAAATGCTACGGAGTACGTAATTTAGCTAGTTACTATAGAATTTAATTAAATTGTAATGGTAAGATCACGTGTTTAAATATCTCTAGGGTTCTTTGTTGGTCTTTTGATTAGGCAACTTAAGTCGGTAAATAATGTACTAGTATAGTTCATATAAACAAATTTACACAATTACACCCATATGTGATTATTTGCTTATGAATCTATGATGACATGAACTTTCATCCTAAACGTTTAAATTTAGATGATATAGTTCAAGATCTTAATTATATAGTACATACGTACTATACTCAGTTTAATAACTCATATTTATAACATTTATGTTATGAAAACACATATTATATAGGATAAATATGAAAATAATGGCCGACAACAACTCTTTTAGCTGGGTTATTCATTGCTTTAATTCATGTCAATCTTTTTCCATGAAAACATCATGCTTTCCACTCCATTTAATTAATGGGTCAATGTTATATATTTTTGGGTCATTTATGTTTGGTGTGTGACAGCGTGAGAGGGCCGGGCATACGTGATAATAATAGCTAGGGTAAAGAAAATGAGTGAGATATATATGGTGCGTTTTTTTAAAAATATTGACATTTTGCATTGCCTAGTAAAAAAATGTGTCAAACATATTTGGCAACAGTTCTTGTTTGTTACTATTGAATGCGTAATGAGATGCTCAAAAAAATTCATTTGAATGACTGCGGATTAAAGTCTTAAAAATAACACTGCGCAGTTAAAATCGCAGTTATCTTCAAGAATTCATTTGAATGTCTTCCCGATTGAAGTTTTAGCTAAAATTTGGTATGAGTCAACTAGACTTAATGAATGAAATGCTCAAAAAAATTCATAAAAAAATTCCACCGAGAACCGCTCCAAATGACGACGGCCGGACAATAAGAACTTATTTAATCTTTTTATACAATTTGGATGAACAATCTAACCCTTTACAGTTTACACGCTATATTATTGAAGGGCTGACCGAAATACCGCACTTTTGTGTTAGGTTCGAATCTTGAGTGTTACGATCCTCTTCGCTACACCTCAAGTCAAAAGTATTCAGTCGAATATTTGCAAGGCCCCACCACCGTCCTGAAGATTCCCAGTCTTCTCAATTTGGGAGCATTCTTTCTTCCTTATATCAAAAGCATCTCTCTATGCTCCATAATCCACTCCCACTTTCACCTTTTGTGATTGATCTTTCAACAAAAAGTTTTTTGAGGCTTAAATTGAAATCAAAGCATTAGAATTCAGAGAGAGTAAAAGTAGTAAGGGACTACAAACAACCGTCAGTCCATGAACCAGACTCAGAGTTAATCACATGCAAACAAACAATATAACTCGTTGATCCATTAATGAGCAAACCTGAGCCATAGACGATTGACGTAAATCAAACTTCACCCAATCCTAATGCAAGAGTCTTACAATTGAAAGCAAAAACAAAGAAATAAAACATAGTCTGATCGAAAGCAACAATAACAAGAACAACAGTAAAATAAAAATTCTTCTCCAAGACCATAAGCACCTCCACCGAGCCCCTCCTAGGGCATCTCGGGCATCCCACGCAGCTTGGCGGACCTACATGAGGTCCGCCTGTTCTCCGTTTTTTATCATCCAAGCCATGTCTTCCTTTGTACTCGCGCCTTGTTGCGCTACTTCCCAGGTTCTTCTACGCTTTGTTTCCACCGATGTCTCCTCTGGACTGATCGAGTTTCCTTATTTTACACAGAGCTAGTAACTGTACTTGTATTTTCCTTCCCATCTTGTTTATCAGTGTCCTGCTCATCAGATAATCCCACCCCTGTGCTGGACGACCCTTCCACCAACAATTTTGTACTTCCTGTCGGACTGGTCTTCACCCCCGACCCAGCTCTAAGTGCAACCCCATAATTTTTATCAAAAGTTATATTCCCCCCCTCATAAACTACTGGACAGAACTTATCTGAATGCCTAATAATGCCACAAACAAAACAAAGTTTGGGAGTTTTTCATATTTAAAATCCACCCATTGGCAGAATCCCACCTATTTCAACGTAGTACCTTTTTTCAAAGGTCTCCTAACATCCATGCGTACTCTAATCCTCAAAAAAGGCTTAAACTTTTCATCAGCTTTCTTGTCATCAAAACTAATAAAAGTTCCAATATAATTACCAATACGCTTAGCAGAACCCAGATTCATAAAACCATAAGCAGCATTGTGCACTTGCACCAAAAAATCAACCTCATACAAATTAATTTGTAAAGGAATATCTTCTGCCTGAATCTCTTTTAGCAACAACAGATTACGTTCAAATAACCACGGTGTCCTGGATTGAAACCCCTTTCACAGGTGTCCACAACGATGCTGATATGCACTAATTAGTAGTGCATAAGTGTGTGTTTTTATGTTTGATTTGTGTATATTATTTATCGTTTTATTTAGTTTGTAAACATTTGTGTGATTTTAGTTGTAATTATATTTTAATCTTCATTTATAAGTTGTAAAGTAGATTTAGGATTTATGGTGTTGGAAAAGATGACTTTGAAGAGAAGAAAGCAAGAAATTTGACTGCCCAGGAGCAAAACCCGACCGGGTAGAAATCCCCACCCGGTTGGGTAAGATTTAACAACCGAAGAATCAAGGAAAGTGCCAGACCCGGTCGGGTCCCCTACTTGACCCGGTCTGGTCAGATGTGACCCGGAACACCAGAACATGCCGCAGATCGCCAGAATGTGGAAAATGTCTGATTTTGACCAAACCCGGTCGGGTCAACTAGGGGACCCGGTCGGGTCTGACTTGACCCGGGACATTTGAACATGCAGGTGAAGATTTGGCAAAGATATGCCTTTTACCCGGTCGGGTTTCTCAAAAACCCGGTCGGGTAAATGGCCCTGGCAGCTCCAAACACCTATAAATACACCTCATTTCCTTCCCATTTATTCATCCCTTCTTCCATATACTTAAGCTCAGTTTAGAATAGCATTTCTTCATTTTTCTTTTAGCATGTTTAGTCTCCAAATGAGGAGCTAAACTTCCAATTCTTGGTTTTGCTCTTGAAGCTTGTTGATTATTAAAGTTGTGAGTTATTTTCTTACTTTCTCCTCTTGATTATTAATTCTTCCCTTAATCTCATTCTATATTAATGTTGGAGGGTGGCTAAGTGACGATTAGTTAACGTTCCGACATTGATTATTACTAGAAACGATCAACGAACCGATGGTTAAACGTTGATAGTTTCACAAGTAAGTAACTTCGGTTTATTAATGCACGGTCGTGGTTAATAAACTTAAGAGGGATTAATTTTGTTGGTTAAACCGAAACCGTTGTGTTGAGGTTATCAATCTCAATTGATTTCATCAAGGAGTTAAAGAGGTTAAATGCTACTATTAAATCGGTATACGGCGTTGTTCTATATTTGGTTAATAGTATGGGTTATTAATGAACGGTCGTTGTTAATAACTACCCTCGATGAATTGGATATACTCCTCGATTGAGTATTCGAGAGGGGATAAGTTATAGATATAACAATGATCGACTAAAATATATCAACAAGTGGAAAGTAGCAAGACCAAGTCCCTTTATTCTTGAATTTAATCCCATATAACTCGTTCATCTTCGTGTTTAATTTAATTAAATCACTCAACAATCAAAACCCCCCTTTATTTATTATTTACATAAAAAGAAAGTTATTCCTTTCCCTGTGGATACGAACTCTACTACGCTATACTACGTATAAGTATTAGTATTGAATTTATTTTGACGCACCGTGACAAAGTGCACGTCAAATTTGGCGCCGTTGCCGGGGAGAGGCAATTATTTTTCTTTTTATTTTTTCTCATAAAAATAAAAAACAAAAAAAACAAAAAAAAAATTACTCTTCTATTTTCTGAGCTTACATGAGTTATGAGTGTATGGATACAGGATACCAACATTTCATCCTTAGAGAGTCAAATTTCCTTTTTGACTTCTCTAATAAATGAATTTATCTTAAGCTCAAAAACTCAAGATGCCAAGACATGCAACATTTGCATGTCTCATAGGCATCTAACAGATTTCTCCCCAAAGCTCCAAGATGAATACCTTGAACAAATTGATGAGGTTGGTTACGAAAAGGATGTACCTCACATGAGGTATGATCCGTTCTCCAACTCTAACATGTCTACGGAGGATATGGTCCGGGCTATTGCTACCAACATGACCACCATGCAAAACAATATGGTGCAATTCCAAAATGAGACCAAGTCTAGCATTTTAAACTTGGAAACTCAAATAAGTCAAATAGCCGGAGTCGTGAGTAGGCTTGAAGCAAGGGATTCGGAAAAACTTTCTTCTCAAATAGAATGTGATCCTAAACAGCAAACTTTTGCAATCACATTGACAAATGAAAAGGAAATGCAAAAGGAGATCCAGAATCCAGAAGAAGTAGAAGAAGTAAAAGATACGGAGCTCCAACTGGTCAAAGAAGAGGATAAGCCGAGCTTCAAATTCAAATTTTTGTCATTGTCATCCTTAGAGGTATCTCCATCATTTCTGGAAGCTTTAAGAGAAACTCATAAACTTGAAAAGGACAATGACATTTCCGAAATCTTCTTCAAAATTGAGGGGTCGAAAAAAATTTCATTGACCATGCTAAACGTTAGTTTCTTCCCCTCCCTCCCACGTGAATCAATGAAAATTTGGATATTTGATCCTGAAAAGATTTTCAAAGTGAAGAGTCGGAAAATTGAGCATTCCTATGTAAGTCCTAGGAGTGAAAATGTGAAGAAGATGAATTATTACCATCCAAGCTTGAACGATTGAACACAATGATGGCGTCGTGCCGCGACGTTAAACGAGGCGCTTCTTGGGAGGCAACCCATGCAAGATGTGTTTACTTGTTTCATTTTATTTTTGCACTTTTCAAAAAAAAATGAAAAAAATGAAAAATGAAGGTCTGGGGCATATACCCGGCCGGGCATCTCATTTAATCCGGTCGGGTATAGGGTAAAAATGTGATACCCGCCCCATCACCCGGGCGAGGCAGGCCACGAAAAACAAAAAAATAAATCCCACCCGACCGGGTACCTCATTACACCCAACCGGGCGTGACCACAAAAAAAACTATTGCCACCCCTGGGTGAAACACCCGACCGGGTACACTACCCCACCCGGCCGGGTATCTCGAGTTTTTGGAAACCAGACCATTCTTCAAAAAAAAAAAAAAGAATCACCCCATTCTTCTTCCCAAAATTCGAACCCAAAAATCTCCATAGTTACAATTTCACACCTCAACCATCCACCAAATCCACAAACTAAACACATACTCTTCTTATTCTCTCCACTTTTTTTCATTTCTTTACCAACAAAACCCACCAAATTACCCAAAATCCGAATTCCCTAACTCCACCTACACCAAGTCAGAATTTTGCTCAACCAACAAAGAAAGAAATGGCACCACAAAAAGGGTTCATCTTCTATGACGTCTTGAAGATGAGCACTAGGGACAGTGCTTTGGCTAGCTTGGGGGGAGAGTTTTATGGACTACTCGCATTCATACTCTTTATTCTTGTTAAAAAAAATGTTCAAAAAAAAAAGAATAAAAAGCTTGTTAAGTTGAAAACCTGAAAAGGCAACTTAAGCAAAAATAAAACAAAAATAAGAGTGAGTTGTGAGGATTAAAACAGAAAAATGTGGGAAGCTGGGATGAAAACCCGAAAGGGCACCTAGGCAAAATGAGAGAATGAGAGAAAGTATTTTCTTTTATTTCTGCAGGATCCTAAGGGTAACGTTAAAAAAAAATGAGGTTGATGAGAAATATGGAGTTGAAGACCCCTCTTTACTCTTATATTTTTGGGGATAAATTTTGTGTTGTCCTAAAAACACTCTTGGATGTTTGTGTGGATACTCTTGTCATTTTAAGGACTTCTTGGGCTAGATTTGTTTTACTCGAGACGAGTAAAGGTTCAAGTGTGGGGGTGTTTGATATGCACTAATTAGTAGTGCATAAGTGTATGTTTTTATGTTTGATTTGTGTATATTATTTATCGTTTTATTTAGTTTGTAAATATTTGTGTGATTTTAGTTGTAATTATATTTTAATCTTCATTTATAAGTTGTAAAGTAGATTTAGGATTTATGGTGTTGGAAAAGATGACTTTGAAGAGAAGAAAGCAAGAAATTTGACTGCCCAGGAGCAAAACCCGACCGGGTAGAAATCCCCACCCGGTCGGGTAAGATTTAACAACCGAAGAATCAAGGAAAGTGCCAGACCCGGTCGGGTCCCCTACTTGACCCGGTCGGGTCAGATGTGACCCGGAACACCAGAACATGCCGCAGATCGCCAGAATGTGGAAAATATCTGATTTTGACCAAACCCAGTCGGGTCAACTAGGGGACCCGGTCGGGTCTGACTTGACCCGGGACATTTGAACATGCAGGTGAAGATTTGGCAAAGATATGCCTTTTACCTGGTCGGGTTTCTCAAAAACCCGGTCGGGTAAATGGCCCTGGCAGCTCCAAACACCTATAAATACACCTCATTTCCTTCCCATTTATTCATCCCTTCTTCCATATACTTAAGCTCAGTTTAGAATAGCATTTCTTCATTTTTCTTTTAGCATGTTTAGTCTCCAAATGAGGAGCTAAACTTCCAATTCTTGGTTTTGCTCTTGAAGCTTGTTGATTATTAAAGTTGTGAGTTATTTTCTTACTTTCTCCTCTTGATTATTAATTCTTCCCTTAATCTCATTCTATATTAATGTTGGAGGGTGGCTAAGTGACGATTAGTTAACGTTCCGACATTGATTATTACTAGAAACGATCAACGAACCGATGGTTAAACGTTGATAGTTTCACAAGTAAGTAACTTCGGTTTATTAATGCACGGTCGTGGTTAATAAACTTAAGAGGGATTAATTTTGTTGGTTAAACCGAAACCGTTGTGTTGAGGTTATCAATCTCAATTGATTTCATCAAGGAGTTAAAGAGGTTAAATGCTACTATTAAATCGGTATACGGCGTTGTTCTATATTTGGTTAATAGTATGAGTTATTAATGAACGGTCGTTGTTAATAACTACCCTCGATGAATTGGATATACTCCTCGATTGAGTATTCGAGAGGGGATAAGTTATAGATATAACAATGATCGACTAAAATATATCAACAAGTGGAAAGTAGCACGACCAAGTCCCTTTATTCTTGAATTTAATCACATATAACTCGTTCATCTTCGTGTTTAATTTAATTAAATCACTCAACAATCAAAACCCCCCTTTATTTATTATTTACATAAAAAGAAAGTTATTCCTTTCCCTGTGGATACGAACTCTACTACGCTATACTACGTATAAGTATTAGTATTGAATTTATTTTGACGCACCGTGACAAAGTGCACGTCAGATGCCATCAATTCTTTGAAATACTGAGATTTAATCTTACGATCAGTAAGAATGATGCCAATAACTGGGAATTCAGCCTTACCCTTACTCGACTCATCCCCTTCCTCTTCTTCGTCGAAAAACACCTCTTCCTTATCATCCCCAATAGCCATTTGTTTGTATTGGTGAAGCACGTCTTCCATGAATCTATGTAATCTTACTGCTTCGAGCCTGTCCTCTGTCGTCTCTGTCAACCTTCTTCTCGCGAACACTGCCTCCTTCGATCTTCACCTGAGTCGACTGTCGCCCCTGAGCCGCCTTCAATCGATCGACGCGCGATGTTCTCCAAACACCACCACGAAGAATCGCCCTCGAATCCCCACTCGAATCGAACCAAAACAAGAAGAACCGCACCTCGGAAGCCACCGAGAGCGGAGATCGAAACCCTAGCGGCAGAGCCCTAGGGAGAGAAAAACTTTTAGCATAAAATTGTTTATTCTCTTTCAACAAAAGTTTTGAAGTGGAAATTTAGCCGATCTTTTTAGTGTGACTTGGGTTTAATTTAAAGTGGGTTTTTGAGAATTGAGAATAATCTAATAAATCAAAATCATTTAGTGTTAATAATTATTGAACTGAATTTGAAAAGGTAATATTCATTCTACGGGAGTAAATAATACATTTTCCGTCCTTTGTCATCTTTTTCTGTCGTTTAAAAAATTTTGTCACTTTTTTCGTCCTTTGTCATTTTATGATAGTTCAAGAACCATTTATGCATTTTATCTATTATTCTTTGCAAAGAAAAAACTGATTAAATTAAAAAATAATATTGTAATACTTTAAAAACATGTCATATATGAAATCTAATATGGAGCAATAAAAAACAACATATAATATTGTATTTTCACTTTTTACACATTTAGAATTATATATATCGAATAAAGTAAAAGTCGGGATCAATCTTCTGTGATTCATTTTGGACAATAATTATTTTCTTCGCATATCACTATAAAATATTACGTAATAATTGAATTTGGCTCCTCTCCGGTGACTGGAATTTTCTAGTAGGAGAGATATAGTGGGAGAGATGAGGAAATGGTGGGGTAGAGAAAAATAAAAGGTAGGATGTAATTATTTATTTTTAAAAGGGAGATAGACTGATAGAGTGAAAAAGAAATAGATAAAAGGGAATAGAGCGAAATATGACTCAAAAGATTCGCCTATTCACGCCTAAGCTTCACAGGTTTGAAACTTGGCTTGCACGCATTATCATGCCTCACACCTTTTAAAACATTGAAATGGAGATTCAACCTGCACGGGTAGTTCAGTTGGCCGAGTAGTATGAAAGTTGAAGGAATAATCAATTATCAAAACCCATAGCGGCGATGTGATAGTTACAGCTCATGTGTGCTGAGTTAACCCTCTGATACGCACGAATATAAGATCTACCATCGTTGGCTGACTGAATTACTGTTATTTACAGCTTGCATATGTCATATTCAATCGAGGCATGGATGCCTTGGGATTTGAAAATTCAACCTTTTGAGGAGTTGAATTGGAGAACGGGTGAAGGCTCAAATTGGACACTATGATTTTATGAGAATCTCATATTGGACACTAAGGTTTCAAATGGACCAAATTGGACACTATGATTACATATGTATCTCATATTGGACACTGAATTTTCATAATTCATAATTTTTGGACACTCACTTATGATTCTCGATCTTTGTCCTTTAATAAAAATCGTTAATCTTATATTTACTTTCCTTTTTGATGAAAATAAACTAATTTAATTACGTATACAATTTTGGAACATTTAATTTGAAGTTTTAGAATATATATTTTGATTTTAATTAATAACTTCATATATTAACAATTTAAAAATATATTTAAATAATTACCAAATTTAAATCAGCCATCGGTGGGGTAAATGCCGGAAAACATTTACCAAATTTTATTACAATAATGCAGTAACTACTAAATTAAAATTAAAATTAAAAACTACCAATTATTTTCGCTCAAATGATCAAATCTGCTGAATCTTTTGAAAGAATAATACTACGTACTATCGTACATGATACGTAGTAATATTCATTTCAACTTTAGTATGTAAACGAAATGCTTCTTAACATGCTAATGAGCGAAATAAATTGATGCTACCAAATAGGGCTTAAATACAAGTTGATCTCGTATAATCTGGAGCATGATTAGTTTAGTGGCAGCGAGATTAGTTCTTCCAAGTTTTACAAGCTTAACCACAATCGTTATATACAACTCTGCATGTAAACATTTCTATTTTTTTTTTTAGTAAGTAGGATTTCATCCAATTTGCATGTAAACATTTCTAAATGTGTTGGGAGGTCAAGCAACAAACAATGAGGACGGGTAGCCGTGGCTCAGCTAAAGAATCCATTAAAGCAGTTTTGCAACATGAGCTCAAACACCAGAAGCCGATTACAGGAGGCACCATACTCGCATGCACCCAGGAGTCATTACCACTGCAACTGATCGCCCGCATTTACTTATAGTAGTAGCTAAATAAGATCATAGCATATCACTTCAAGAGCCTTTGTGGTAAAAGGATATTAGCGACCGAATCTGCTGAATTTCATGAAAGAAAAGCATTTCATAATGCATACATTTCGGCCAACTAGTAAGCTACCTGTGCATTGCACGGGATGCAATTTGTAGACATTGTAAATATGAATATATAAAGCATTTACGAATTTGTACATAGGAAAATTAATCATGAAAAATGCATATAGTAGCACTGGTTCAATCTTTTCAATTCTAATTATCATTTTATTTTATTTTATTTTATTTTATTTTATTTTTTACTCCAAGGGGATCTAGGGGAGGGGGTCTGGGGGGCCTAGAGTAATCAAGGCTGAAACCCACCCCATTGAGTTTCAAATCCTTATGCGTCTAACGGGTTTCGAACTCGAGACCTCTCATTAGGCACAATAACCTCACAATCAGCTGGGCTAGAATGCTTGATTTCTAATTATCATTTTATAGTAGCACCAGTTCAATATATTCAATTCTCATTATCATTTTATAATAGCACTGGTTTACATATCGAAAAGAAAATAAAACATTTGTTCCCAACTGAATTCAAAGTCTTGGGTACAGCTACTTTAGTAGGTTTCAGTATCAATATAAATATCAAATCAAACCAGGTGCAGCTACTTTAGTAGGTTTCAGTATAAATATAAATATCAAATCAAACCAAAACAACCATGAGTCTTACATAGAGACATACTTATATCAGCCCAGCAGCACATAGGGGCTTAATAAGAGCTGAGTCCAATGTCTCATTTTAACAACGGCTCCCAGTTTTGGGAGAGCAAGTCCATTGGTGCATTGGGCTGCACGGTGTTACACTTTGGTGCATTTTGTTAAGAACTGAAGAAGAAGAAAATCATTTCATGTCAATCACAAGTTAAATTTTACTTTTTCAAGAGGATGTGGTAACTGTAACTGTAACAAAAAATTGCTCTCCATATTGAATAGATTTGCAACTTCTATCATGATAGGGAGATGCATTAAGCTTTTAGGTGATGTAGATTGGTATATATGTCTTAATATAAAAGTAAGGAAATTTTACCTTAGACACACGGAACTAATTTTCATTGTGTGCTAGAATGCAGCAAATTGTTAATACAAAAATGTTTGAACAGAAAGTCTGCGAAAAAATATGTCTTGTAAAACAAAAAAATGCAATGACTTGGATTTAGGAGAAGAGAAACATACAAAAGATGCAATGAAAAAGACTCTAGATCATTCAAAACATAAAGAATCAGTCTTATTGGGACAGAATCATCAAGAAAAAGAGAGTTTTGGTTCATCTACCATCTTATGAGTTGTGTTCATATCCTTAATAGTTCAACGACTATCATATACTCATTTGCAAAATTAAGCACTTTTTAACCTGCACATGAGACTATCTTTTCTTTATAACTTTTTAAGTTGCATTGCTGTGAAGGAAATACAAAATGTATGTCAATGAAAGAATTTTTTTGTGGATATTAACATTATATCAGCTTACTTCCTTACCTCATTTTTTATAACCTATTATCTTAACAGTTTATCCACAAAATCAGGTTAGTTTATCTAACCTACATTTTTTTATAACCTTTTATATTATGTTTATTTTTGCCAATGAAGTTGTCTTCCACCGCTTTGAGAACAATATGATTTGCCGCAGTTGCATTTCAATTACGATAAATGCATGGATGTTAAACAATATGGTTTGCCGTAGTTGGATTTCAATTACAATTTCGTTCATGACATAAAATTTTAAAATCTTCTCTTAGATTTATCTCAAGCGATATATATACATACCAGCTGTTTACTCATTTGATGCACGGACTTTCTTCAAAGATCTTTAAGACTGCAAAGCAATGCTTGATCAACTGGAGGTGCTTGATGTATTGATCCACCAATAGCATCTTCATTATAGGAGGACAGTATGTTATCCCCAAATGTACTATAAACCTTGTTTCCATAATCTTAGAGCATCTCCTCACTACCATAATAGAAAAAGGTTTAATTGAAAATTAGATCAGCGTAGACCATATGCAGGTTATAGAGCACTTGAAGGTTTAATCAAACACTTGGAAAAGTCCAACCCTGCTGTAAAAGAAGAAACATGCCTTATGATCAA